GGAAGTCTCCATAGCACATGTCCCAGTGGCTGCAACACAGCTGGGGACCTTGTTCAAGCTCTGCAGCTTCAAGAGCCTTGACATCCACCCTCTCTTTTACTGCTGGGTTGGTGTCATGTTTAACACTAATTTCTTAAAAAGCCGTGCCAGTGTCTGAATTTTCTAGTGGGAGGATAAGCTCCTCCTGGTAGCCATTTGCTGTTGCAGCAGTTCGTGCAATTAAGAGCCCAGCACTGGCAGGATTCACGGCCAGCTCTGTGAGGGATCAAAGGCACAGTCGCAAGGGGACCGATGCTGGGGCGAGGCGGTTTCACTCACACAAGATGCTTTACTACATCTGCTTTATTTCATATTTCACTTCTAGCTGCTTTTCTTTTGCTTTTTGACATAGCGAGCTCTTCCAAGAGCTCTTCTGTGAGGCTGCTGCATTATGCCTGTGACTTCAGGGACACTAATTTCTAAGGCATGCTTCTGTAGGAAAATAGACTTGCAGAAATAATATCAGCATGTTAATTTTCTGCAGGGTTTATCGAACCTAATGTTCTATCTCTTTCTGGCATCTGGTCATTCCAGGGTGTTTTAGTTGCATTAAATAGTCAACAATAAGCAACACAAAGGCTTGAGTTACGTGTGTATGGGAATAATAAGGCGAAGTCATGGATTGCTCCCTTTCTGCACAAACAGCGAGTGGCAATCTTGATAACATGCTTTCAGGTAATTGTTGCTGTGTTTTAGATCATTTTGGTATGTACTTGATGTATTTGATTTTTAGTCTCTATGTTTCGCTATGGAGGGAGCACAGGAAATGTTTAACAGGCAAGCGTGCCTAGGTTGCTCTCTCATTTCTGTTTTCTTATCAGCAAAACATAAATCCACAGCTTGCTGAAAATGAAACCATACGGTAACTCTTTCTGAGAGATCGATTTTGCAATACAGATAATCCTGTCTGTGCATGTGAAGAGATATTTTGGATTATTTTGTTTCAATTCTTGCATTACTCTGTATTTTTCAGTGCTTGGAAGTTACATATGTGGCTATTTCTGAACACAGTACTTTGGGTGAATTAAGAATTTATGGAGTACGCTACACTTTAGTGTCTTTACTTTGAGGACAGTTGTTTGTTATATGAAATAACCTGTTTATTTGCTATAGACAATGCCCTTCTTCTGTGTTGGCAGACAGTAGCAGCAGATTCAGATACTTTTTGAACATTGGGTATCCTCTTAGTGTGAAGCTGAGCTAAGAAATGCATTTGTATAAATCGGCTCTTGCTTTACAAGAAGATGCAGAAGTAGCTGCAAAAACTTGAAGGTGTTCAGCTCTTTGTGCCCTGAAGGGAATTGGCTAGTTGATGGCTGATGGTCACCCCGGTTCACCAGAGCTGATGCTGTACGGTGGCATGGTACACAGAGCAGACGAGGCTGTTTATTAATACTTTTCAAACAGTAAAATGAACAAGCGTGAGTCCTCATAACTTCTGTTGGACTTCAATACAAATAAAAAAATAGTATTTCCAGGCTTTGTATTGGCAAGTGAGTTTTCTTCTTGACCTTGGAAGTAGTAGCCAGTATCTGGAAATGTAAGCAGAGCACAAGCCTGGGAGTGGAGAACAACAGCGAGGAGTAATGGGAACTAGATGCTGTAGACACATATCAAGTCTAGCAACGATGACATGAAGCTAATCAAAACAAAACAACACATCATGAATTTTCCTGTTTACTATAAACTACGTAGAAGTGGCTGATGGGCTGTTAATTCCTCAAGCACTCCTCCTAGCTTTAGGTGCTGGCTGTCAGGCATGAGTCTGTGGGCTTTAAGATGCACCTATTGCAAAAGCTACGTAAGCAGTAATTAGGGGTTTTATTTAATTTTACATTTCTGGGTACTAACAGTTACTGCAACCCAAGACCTGAACGTGATATTTTCTAGATATTTAGAAAAGAAATATAAATCAAGATGTAAATCTGGTTAGCACAAATGTTTATGCAGTATTTGTGTTTTACTTCAGGAAGCAATGCTGTCTCAAACACCAGCCTCAGCTGAAACCAAAAATATAAATATATTATATTTAAAAAAAAAAAATCTTGATTGTAGTAGATTTAGTCAGACAAACACACCTGAAGAGTATTCAAAGGATAAATCTATATGGAACATCTGCTTATATAAATATGAGGATGGAAGCTTACCTAAACAATGATTTTCTGGAGATGGAAGGGTAAAATCAGCCTAGCAGAACAGTGAATGCAGCAAGTAACCACAAAAACATTACAGATAGTTAATAGTACAGGATGCCTGAGCTTACAGGAGATATTTTACAAATGAGTTATTAGAAGACCATTGCTGATTAAAATTAGGCCAAATTTTATCCAAAGATACTAAATCCAAACTTGGATAAAATTCACAAAGTCATACCGGCAAAAATCCATCTATGCATTTCAATAAAAACATTTGTAAAAAGCAAAATACAGTGACACATTTACTGTTTTGACTTTGGTGGGAAGAAATTGTCTTGAAAAGCTCTTAGAAGAAGAAGAAAAAATGGTATTTCTACTCTGGCCAAATGCAGGTGCATGAAACGCAGTTGATGAACTTTCAGCTCAGCAACTGTGTAAAGCCAGGTATAGAAGCATTCAAAAGTTTAGCTCTCATTAGCTGTCATTAAGATGAGCCTCTGAGGTTCCTGCCCCATTTACATTCATATGGGAATGATCCTCTGGGGATGACACAATGCTGTTACAGCCCTGACCAAAGGGAGGAAATATCCACGGCTTCATGGGACATTGGCTGTTAGAAATCTTTGTAGTGCTCAAGTGAAGAAAAATATTTTAAAATCCACGGCTGAGGAAGAATGCTGATAAGGTTGCTGACATTCAGAGGTTTTAATCACTCAGCATATACCATCATGGGCAAGGACAGTGCAGGAAAGGGTCAAGAGCACATGAACCAGCTACAGCTGCACGTATTACTCAGGACATTCAATGCTGGATTAAATGAAATATGTCTTGAAAGAAAGGATCTAGTGCCAAATGATCTTTTCTTTGGAGAGCAGAGGCTGAATAACAAGTCCAGGTAAACTGGCAAGTCTGCTGAAAGCATGTAATGAGGGCTGCTATGGTGGCTAAGCAGATGTACTTAGAATCAAATTTGGCTCTGAATTACTCTCTGCATCTTGTGCAGCTGGAAGTGTCATTGATGTGAACTCTAAGTATGTGATTTGGTATCTAAAAATAGCCTTGAAAATGTAAAATGGAAAAAGGTAGATATTTTGCAGCTTAGGACAATGGTTTTTCATGTAAGTCTCTGAGAGATTAAGGTAAAAAGAAAAGCCCAAACTCGTAATGCTCATCTGAAGTGAGGAGGAAGGTTGTCCAATGCACACATCTCGTGTTCGAGTAACGGGATGTTGGAGGGAAGGACAAGAGATGAAGGGAAATGATGCTCTAGAAAATATTTGCCCTCATTGAGGCAAACTGCTGCCATAGTAAGAGACTGAAAGAAGTGGCAAAACAAACAGAAATAATCTGCATGGAATAAAACCAGGCATGTTTTTAAAAGCTAGTCCTCAGTACATATTTACTTAGTAGATTAGACCAGTGATTGTCACTGCAGTTTTTGTTTGGTCTTTTGCTGAGATTTCTTTGGGTTTCTTTTCCAGGGGTCTGGGGTTTTTAAGAGCATAAATTGAAGATATGTAGTAAGCATGTCTGTTGCGGTTTGATTGCAGAAGCTTAATGTTAATTAATGACCGGGGGGAGTTTTAGTATTAAAAATAAAAGAGATTTGCTATCAACGTGTGATTTTGTCAAGATGTTCTCAAGGAGGCTATTAAAACTCTACATTTCTTTTTGCTTGTAAGTGTGGGAAGCATTTTTTCCCCCTTTTATTTTTTTTGTGTGTCACCATAGTGCTTGCAACTCTAGTCTTGCAACTGTGCCCCGGTTGCCTCTGAGCATGCTGAAGTCATTTGGAAATCCAGCGAAAGATAGGGAACTTGGGGTGTGGTGCAGAAGCAGTGCTGGTATTTAGTAAATTTTTTTAAAAAAGATTACGTATAACAGTTTCCAGATTCTGTCAGTGCACATGTACAAAACCAGAAAATGTATTTATTGTTGTTACCTTTGAAGTCATCTGGATATTATATGTTGTCTTAATGATTGATCATTAAAATTTGTGTTTAAAATGAGTGTGAAACAGGGCATGTTGTGACAGTAAAACCCAATCTATAAAGTTAGTGGCTGATGTCAGGTGGCTAAGAGGAGAACAGCTCCATGACTCAAAGAACAGCTGTATGAATGACAAAGAAATAGAGAAAACCTGAATGAACAAAAATGTACTAAACATGAATGATATACTATTAAGCAGAGCTTGTCACTTGAAAATGGAGATAAGTTGAATGTAGTTGTGCTGTATGTGTATGCCTCTCTCTGCCCTCTCCCTGTACAGTGGGTTTTGAACCTGCTGGCTCATTTCAGACAAGACTAACAGGTGCAGTGCTCTTGAAAGATAGGAAGTTTCCGTAGGATCATGAAAAGATGCTACCAAGTAGACTGAAATGCTGAAATGTGTGATCAATCCATTAGATCTTGGAAAGTTTGCACGGGGGAAGATATGCTATGAATATTCCCGGCATGGAAGATACCAGCCTGAGTACATAATTAAAGACACAGAGTCCAACAACAGAGGAATCCATAGGAGACCATGCCACTCACAGAATGACTTTTTTTTAAAAATGTTTAATATGTACCAGTAAATAATGTTGAAACACGAGTAAAACCTCCCTTTGCACCATGGGTCAGGGCAGTGGAACTGTTGAATGGCACCAAAGGGGGTTTGGCCTTGGGCTGGTACTTGGCAGGGCAGTCAGCATCGCCCACTCTGAGGTCTGTTATTTGTTTGACTATTAACTTGGACTGATTTACAATCCGATTGCAATAAAACTTAAGTGGACCTTTGCTTTTGGCTCTGGTGCTGCATTGTCTCATTTTGTTTTTGTTCTGCAGGGCAGTGCAGCCGCATCTTCCCTCCCCAGCTTGGCACACTACAAATCATTCACGGCAACGGCACGGCCGTGGGGACGGTGATAACATTCCAGTGCTCTGCCGAGCACCAGCTGGAGGGACCAGGCATCATCACCTGCATTTGGAAAGGAAACGGTACCCAATGGACAGCTGGAGTGCCCTCCTGCAAGCGTAAGATTCTTTCCAAACCATTCCCAGTCCCTTTGGGCTGCATTGTGTTTATTTTGCTCTGCCTATCTCCTACAACGTTTGGATTAATTCTAGACATCTCTGCAAGGAAAAACACAAATTCAATTTCCTTCAAAGTTGCCCCCACTGGCTGTAATTGCACTCCATGTGTGTTCTGACATCATTCATTATAATGACACAGAAAAGACGGTTGGATTTATGCCTGATCTCACATCACCAACTCCGGTAGTGTTGCACCCGGAATAACTGTGGCTCTGTAGCTACAAGCTGTACCCTTCTTTAGAAAATGTATAGATATGACCAACTAATGTGCAAGCATATCTGCAGACCCTCTAATCTCCTGGCATTCTTTTCTGAAGATATTTTGGCTGTGAAAGAAACACAGCAATATCTTTTGAACAATTTTAGATTGCTGCCTGTGGGCAGCTGCATGAGAAAGTTACCATATTGACAAATAGCATTTAAATAGCAACAACATCAACTACCTTTCACACTGTGTTCCTTCTTATTTATTATAAGGTTGTTAGTAATTTAATTAGAAGTAGGCCCAAGCAAAACATGGTACCTCTGAGCTTTGAGAATCTGTCTGTGTCTCAGACCTTGTATAATTTTAAATCACTGGTAGATGGATAGGCATTTATCACGCTTTCAAAATCTCAGCTATTCTTATCTCTCATTTGAGAGATTCCATTAAAGAAAACCAAGAGAAATCATTCCCTCCAGAAGCTGCAGAAATACAAAGCTTTGTGTGGAGCTCAGCTGAACCATTTCTGATGCTGGTCATTGTGATGTTGGAAGAACTAGATGAGTTCTGAAGCAAGACATGCTTAGTGCTCCAGATGAGTTGGCAGAGATCTGCATTAGCTGTGCCACACCACATTCCACTCCTCCTTTTGTCTGGAAAGCTCACTTCCAACATCAGGTCACTGTGAACACTCAGTGCTGCAGATACTGTCCCTTCTATCCTGCATCCTTCCCCAAACAGAGGAAGACCTGTTGTCCCCTGCCTGCCAAATAGGATGTAATTATATGGAACTCTCCATGATCTAAAGGGCTTCTTTAAACCCATTTACCCCTGTCAGTATTTGGTTTCGCAGCTCCAGTCCTTGTTAACAATTGCTTATAAGAGCCTGCTAGCTCATCTGCATTTGATATGGTGACAAAGTTGTACTTTTTAGCTACTGCAGTGCTAACGGCATTGTGCTTAATTAGTTGCAGTGGTGAAATACTTGTGAACAATTCATTAGTATCTTATAAAAAGGAGATTTTTAAATAGCCTAATTTGAGGCTTGCGTAGTTCTAAGCTGAAGCCACGATACTCTGGTATCTTGACACATACTAACGCAAAAGTCCTCAGTGAGCTATTATTACCAGAAGTGTGAAGCAGGTAGGCTTCAGCATGGTTTAATGAAACTGTGAAAGATAAATTCATGGGCTGACCTTAGAAACATGCTTCTGTGTTTGCTTTGCTGCAGCCATATCAAAATATGAGACTTTTGGATTTAAGGTCGCAGTGATTGCCTCCATCGTGAGCTGTGCTGTCATTCTCCTGATGTCCATGGCTTTTTTAACTTGTTGTCTTATCAAGTGTGTGAAGAAAAGTGAAAGGAAGAGGACTCAAAGGTATGTCAAGAAAAGATTTTTAAAACCGGCATAAGACTGTACATCATATGGACCCCATTGCTGTGATAGCAGAGAGCTTCAAAGGGCTTGATGCTCACAACACCGCAATGATGTTAATTACTTAAAATCCTTAATTTGTAGGTTAGGCTTTAGGCATAGAAAGACTTGGAATTCAAGACTAGTTAGGCACCTAATGTCTGTTAATATCAGATGACCTCAGTGGGCCTGGGCAGATCTGGATTTACCCAGGATTATGCAGAAGCTGAACACACAAGTCTTATTTGCTGGCCCAGTCTTTCCCTCCTTGAATTATTTAAGATTAGCTGTGTTTTCCCTTCTTTTCTCTCTCTTTCATTTTGTCCGTTGCTCTCCTTGAACACTGCTTGGAAAATTAATCTACCCATGTTAAAAACATCAAAGCCCTCACTGTCTGCAAAGCATACCTAAACCTGTCACAACGCTATGCTGGAAGGACATAGGATTTTGTCTTCTGGCTTGAAGCGCAAGACAGCAGGCAGGATTATAAACAGGCATGGGAAGAAGTAAAATTTACCAATCCAGTCCATTATAAAAACTCAGTGTGAAGAGTGGCTGTGTGACCACATCTGGCTGTACGCTAAAGCTGAGCCACTGTTGTTCATGAGAACATCCATCCAAAGTCACCTGCTGCAGGCTTTCCATGGGCACCTCTTCATTTCCCTCCCACTTTTCTGCTCGTTGTTTTGTAACTCAGTGGGGTGGCTGCACTCTGTGCTGCTGATGCCTGCTGTGCAGACAGTAAGCTGCACTTCTGGTTGATTTTAAGCTTTTTCTTGCTTCAGAGAAGTGTTTGGAGTGAGGTGGGGTAGTGGTGGAGTAGAGGGAGACTGGGAAGGACATGAGTGAAGGTCTCTCTGCTCCGAGCTGTGTTTTATCTAGAGCTGCGTAGGAACCAGCCAAGGGAGGAAATTTGGAAATCTGATTGTAACAAAAATACAGATTTTCTGTTTCCCTTGAAAGGATTTTATGAGGCAAAAAAGAAAGTCTTTGGAGGCATTCATAATATTAGGTTCTCACTGATAGCATGAAATAATTTTTGAAATTAAAGGGTTGATTGGCATTTTTGGAATTGCTGCTTTTCTTTTTGATAAGACTATGCATATCGAAGTCCTTGTTTTTCATTTATTTTAAATGGAGTTTTGTCCAAATTAGCTGTTCACATGACTTTGATGGCTTGATGTTTTTCTCTTATGAAAGAAAAGTCCTTCACACCAGACGTTTTGACCTGGTTCTGTCTTCAGGACATAAAATGATTCCCTTTGTTGGGAGCGTCTCAGTTCCCTGCTGCCCTCTGTCCTCCCTCCACTGCCTCTTGAAGGAACTGCTCCAACCTGGCCCATCCACGACTGAGCCCTGCTCCTGGGTAGGGAAACTGGGGGCACTGTAGACATTGTGTGGCTTGGCCCTGCTGTCAGAAAGTGACTGAGATGATGGAGAAGCTGTCCATGTCATGTGAGAAAGAGTAACGCATCCCTGTATGAAACTTGCTCGACCCACAGCCCGTGCTTCAGAGTGCCAGGTGTGGTGGTAACACTGCCGCAGCTGGCAGCATCCAAGGGCGTAAGTGCGTGAGGATCTCTTTTGTGAGGTCAGTTGATGTGGTTGGAAAATGTGGATCGACTTTTGGATGCACATACCATTAACCTGAAGAGAAGCTGCAGGCTTGATAACTTCATACAAAATGAAAATACTTGGTAGGGGATTAGTTAAATAAGTGTCTCTTAAACCATCTCTGAAAGAAAAGGTAATCTGTATCTGTGGGGTAGGGAGGATGTCCTCATCTTGTGTTTAGCTTTGAAGTCTACCTGTCTAGTTTATTTGGCTCTTTTAGTTGGTCTACTAGAAGAGATCACCTTTGCCTAACAACCTGTCTTGCAAGGTATCTGATGATCTTTGAAGTGCCATCTTGTGTTTTATCCTTGCATTTGGAGAGAAAAAGGACAAAGGCTGCTGAAAATCCTCATATAATTTAGCCTCCTCGCAGATCTTGTCCCACTGCGTGAGTGTAGCTGCCATTTTCTTTGGCAGAAGCAGGATTGCATCCTGAGAGGACAGAAATTACATCAAAATCAGCATCACCAGCCCTCACAATTTAATCTTGTCCCATCAGTTAGTGTGAATGTCTGTGACTATATGAATCTTAGACTTCTTTTAAAAACAAGAAAAGAAATTGTGGGGTTTTTTTTTTTCTCCCAAAGTTGTGGAGAGCAGCATGAAAAGTGCCTTGAGCATTTCCAAAAGGAAATCCTTGAAGGCAACCGAATAAGCCCTGCTCTTAACAAAGGCAACATTACCTATCTCCTCCATTTTTATGTCAATTCATCTTTTCAACCTGCCTGGTGATTTTTGAACCCTTAAGAAAGGTAGTGCTGCAAAAATTCACAGAAAATACTTTTTTATCTGAAATAATTTATTCTATAACATGGGGATGGTCTGTAGTTTTTTCACATACAACAGGATCTGTGGTGACATGTGTCACTGATGAAGGTCCATGAGAACACTGACACAACATCACAGCTTAAGTGACTTTCCTTATTACCTGTAGTCTCAAAATCCACTGAACCAAATTGACATAATTATTGGGGTTTTGTTCCTTTGAACTATCCACAGGTGCTCATAAGAAAATTGCTCTTTTAAAAAGTTTGTTTGTTTACTTGTTTTTTGAGGAGTGCTGGATAATACTTAACGCTATTTTACAGAATAATATTTATGCTATTTAAGAGCCCCCCACCTTAAGGTATTTAAGCAGGTATTTAAGTCTCTGGAAATTTGGCTTACACTTGAAGTTCAGCATGTGTTTAAGTGCTCTCTTCAAGTGAACCTGGATTTAGATTTAAATGCTAGTGAGTCAGAGCTGTGGTCAGATAAAAGCTCAGATATACAGCTGTTTATCACAGTAATGTATTTTACCCCTTGCTTTATTCACAGAGATATGCAGCTGTGGTACCAGCTCAGAACTGAAGAACTAGAGCACATGCAAGCTGCTTACTTTTGTTTTAAGGGAAGAAACAACAACAACAATAAGAAACTCAGGAATAAATCCGTATTTGATGATGTGACTAACACAGCATATGATACCCAAGGCTTCTACAGGTAAGGCTATTAAAATATAGTGGGTTTGAATGAGTTTGTTGAACAAATTTTAGAAAGAGGATTTCTTGAAAATGCATTTTAAAGGGATGCCCCTGAAGAGGATGTGATGCCAGTGGATTGTCAGGGCTTGTCCTTGAACTTGCCTGTCTTGTTCGGAATTAATGTTTGCCAAAAGGTGACACAGCACAGAAGCTGAGCATGACCTCCCTCCTTACCGTTTTTTTATCTATCCCCAGTAGTGCTTGGTTAAGTCTGGTCTGCAGGGGAGGTTGCACCAGATTAACTGGAGAGAGGTTTTTAATTGGCTTTGTTAAACTGATGCTAAACTGCAGCAGGAAAGTCACTACTCTCTATTGGTTAGTGTTATCAAGGTGCCAGCTTGCCTAAGAGCCTTAGGAGAGGAGCCAGACAGGGGCATCTGGGGCTGTGGTGCAGCTCAAGGTGAGCATTGAGTATTACCATTTATGCCACAGTGACTGCGAAAGGTCTCTTGAGAAATACTGTTTTGTTATCACGGTGTGCAGGGCAAACACAATGGGATCCTCATCCTCAAGGCAGCTTGAAAGCCCACAGTGTGAGAACCCTGACCCTGGGGTAGTCCAAAGAAATGTCAACACTGAAATAAAGTTCATCACATACTGTCGATGCGTGGGTGGTGGGCATAGGTATTTTTTGTGTCAGTTCAAAATCATCTCTGAAAGTGTCCAGCTGTGTTATGCTGGCTGTATTATTGCCAACAGAAGAAAAACAGAAAAGTGAATACGTGTTAAATTCTAATCCCTGTTTTGCTATTACCATTCATATAAACACACGTCAATTGTGTCTTTTGTATCCTTTGGTTTCTGCTTTGTCGTCGTGTATGGTAATATATAGCACAATCCTTGTTTGCTTTTCATTCACTGCTCACTTGTACAGTTTTATGTACAGCAGTATCTGTGATTTGTAGTTGTTACCTGCAGAAAACAATTTTATGCAGATTATAAACCTACTTCCATGTCACAGTGAAGCTGGAAATTATATTCAAATGGAGCACTTGCACAAAAGTCTGATGGCTACTTAATCAGTTCCTAGCTTTGGGTGATTTCAGAAAGATGTATAAAGCTAATTAAATACTGATTATAACCTAAACAGTTTTTAGAAGACCAAAGATACAACTTTTAATTTTCGTCAACTTCAATCCACTATGATGTTAATGTTTTGTGTAAGTGTAACCTGCTTTTAAAATAATATGGATAAACTTATAAAGGGCTGTAAACAAGTTAGTGCTCTGCTGGAGCCTCAAGCTCCTTCTGGGTTCTTATCTGCACCACTCCACAGAGCAGAAGCTGCTGTATTATGTTTACCAAATTCTGTACACTTTTTCTTAACTGAAAGTAGCAGGGATTATACAATTCTCCTGGATAAGCAGCTTCTCTGGGGCCAGAAATCAACAAGTTTATTGAAAATTGGAGAATGTATAAACTTCAGTGGGGAATTGCAGAGGGCAGGAGGAAGAAAGCCTGTGAGCTCTTTTTTTTCCTACATAGAACAATACACATGCTGTGTTAAATACTGGTGCACATACCCACCTCCTAATGCATGAGGTCCTCTATTAATCAAGGCCTACTTTATTTCCAGCATACAGAGGTGATGTGACCTTGGCTAATCACTAGCCAGAGCAAAAATGAGCTAGGAGAGCAGGTGTATTAGTCTGTGCACCCCCAAGCCAAAAGTCTATCTGTTTCTCATGTGGCGAACATGCACAGCTTCTAATCAGAGACAGAAAAGGCACTGAAGCTGTTACAGACCCTGAATAAAACTGTCTTGGAATTGCTCTAGGAACAGGTGTGACCCTTTATCACTTTGTACCTTGTTCCCTTTCTGCACTCAAATAAGATCTATTTAATCAAGGTTAGTAAAAGATGCTAATTTCTACTGGTTAATTCTGTTAAATAGATATGTGCACAGGATGAGATGTGGGAATTCTGCTAATGTATTTCATGCCAACTCTTGAAGACAACGAATAATCTGTTAGCTTTCTGTTTCGCTTGCAAGACTCATTTTTTTGTGTAGCAAATTAGGCTAAGTTTCATCATCCTGTGCACATTCAGCTTACTGGGAATGGCAGCACAGTGTAGGCAAATCCCTGGGGAGGTGCAAACAGGTAGCTGGCTTATGCTGGGAAGACCGTTGTGAAAACCTGGGTTATTTCTGTGGTACCTCTCTCCATTTAATGTGAGGTGGACATGTTGGCAGCCTATACTTGGAGGAAATCTCTAATTGTGTGGGTGTTGCTGTAGTGGTGGAGCTGTTATAGTGTTGGTTGTCCGAGGAAATAAATAAAGGTGGTTAGAAAAAAGCTGCAAAACTGAGGGCAAGCAAGCCTGAAAGAAAGCTTCTGTATATTGCTGTATGCCTGTGAACCAAAGCATGCGTCCATGGTCATGAACAAGCCAAAAGATAATTTAACCAAGGCTCATCAAGGAAAGTTCAGACTTGATATTAGGAAGCATTTCTTTACCAAGATGGTGACCAAACCCTGGAAGAGGCTTCCTGGAGAGGTGGTTGATGCCTGAAGCCTCTCAGTGTTCAAGAGGCATTTGGACAATGCCCTTAATAATTTGCTTTAATTTTTGGTCAGCCCTGAATTGGTCAGGCAGTTGGACTAGATGATCATTGTCGGTCCCTTCGAACTGAAATTATTCTATCCTATCCTATCCTATCCTATCCTATCCTATCCTATCCTATCCTATCCTATCCTATCATATTCTTGTGTTAACGTTTCAGACATTTGGAGGAATTTTTGCAGTGCATCGCTAGACCTCTGAGCAAATCAGAAATCCTACTTTGTTTTTCTAATAAGGAACTCTCCTAAGAAGCATGGGAGGCTGATCGTTTTCTCCCTGCCTTTTTCAGGGCTGCAGTACATGTCGTTCTCTGTGATACAGCCATGGGAAGTGGCTTTGCAACCCACTTAGAAGGGGAAGGCTGAGAAACGAGTGGTGCCCTTCTCTGAGAAAGGAGTGGGTGGAAGCTTGGCAATTTATGTCGTTTTTACGATAGCATTTCCTTTTCTTAAAGAATGTTCTGCTGCTTCTTCATGTAACATATGAAGTATCTGGAAGGGTGAGAACTCCTCCACCCTTGAAGAAGACCCTCTTGAGTATATCTTAGCCTATTTTTGACTAGAAAACGATGTAGTTCATGCTGCTTTTCAGACTTAATTAAAATAGATTTAGAGATTAACTAGAGATTAACATTTTGATTCACCACTTGAAGGATCAAAAATGCTGTAAGAACAAATAAAACAAAAAGCCGACTCTTTCAGACAGGTAAGATATTAGTTATGGTTTACAGAGTAATTTAGGATTAAAAACCCTATCATCTATTAAAGCAGTACCTTAGTATGCCAATGAGATAATGTTGGCTGTAATGAGGTGACATAATGTAGATGCAGAATGCTGATGTACAGAAGTTATAAATAATGTAGAAGCCCAGCTGTTGGACAGTAGAGGATCCAGTGTGCTGTTCTGGACCTGTCTGCCACAAAATGAGATCTTTTTCCCCTCACGTTTGAAGCATGGAACAAATGTGATGAATATATAGTTTTGCAGGGAAATATTGAATTTTAGTGGCAACTACTCTAATTATAATGAGCCCCATTCTGGCTTCTTGGTTGCTTGAATAAATTGCTTTAAAATGCTGAGAAATATGTCTACAAATACGTGGATTGTTAACTACAGAGTGCAGTCACTGTTGATGCCGCCTCTTTCATTTGGATGTAAGGAATCATAATGAGGATAAAAGTACCAGTTTTTAGCAGAAAATCTTATAGGCAGGAGCTGCAAGCATTTACAGCATATTTGCTCTTTTATAATATTTGAAGAGCTAACTAATATTGAGCAGGGAAAGCCAAGTTACAAGGCATGGGGCTGCTGGGAAGGACATGTTTTACCTGGCGTTGCTTCTCAGAAGTTTAGAGCATAGAGCAGAGATAGCAGGTTGCTGTGTGATGCAGAGGTTTGAGACAGATTAGCTGAAGAAAAGGGTCTGTCATCTATGGGAGGGAGACTGGCTGCAGCTCTGGGCCATGTAGTTAGAGGAGAACAATGTGCACGAACCTCCAAAACAGCCCCCGGGAAGATTGCTAGGCAGAGGCAGGGCTTGTTGACATGGGGATATATTGGGAATAACTCTCACAGCCTGACTGCAGTATGTAATAGGAGAAAAGCCTAAAATAGGTAAATTATATTCTGCTCTCTTTAACATTTTAAGATTTTAAAGTCTTCCCAATTCTGCATGAGAATGACACCAGGACTGTTGGCACTGTTCATCCAAAGTGAGAGAACTTCCTCAAAGCAGCAGAGGGCACCACACCTGCTTGGGGTTAAACAGGCACTGTGGGTCTTACTGGGGAGAGTCCTGGGCATCAGGGACATTTGGTATTGCAGAGGAACTAGCACTTGAAACACCATGCTGGGTTTAAGAGGTTTTTTGAAATGGGCATGTTCCTGAGCATGGTGTGTTACTTTTGAGTCAGTTATTTTCTGATGAAGAATAATACCTGACCCTGCAGTAATCCTTCTCTGGAATAATTGCTTGGGCAACCACCACCTGAGATGAACAGACCTCTTCCATCCCCAGCCATGTGGGAGAGCTTGGACTTAGTCAGCTGCCTGAGCAGGCAGGTTGTCCTCTTCCCTATGACAGGCACAGGGTAAAATATCAGTAAAGAGAAGCTTAATGACAGCTGTCCTTCCTCTGTGCCAGCTACTGGTAATGTTTGAGAGATAGAGGTGAATGTCAGTAAGAGATGATATTAAAGAAACTGGTGTCAAAAAGAAGAGTGGATTCACCCTAATGCAGGCACAGGGCTATGCTCACCTGCTGCCATGGGTCAGCTGTAGCTGTTCCCCAGGTCAATGGTTGGTACAGGTGGGTTGAGGCAAGTTTGGCCTTGGGATCCCCTGCCTGGACTAAGGCAGAGAAACTCCAGTGGCTTGCTCATGACTCCCAAACTG